CCAGTAGATTTCTAGCGGGGACCAATCATAGGGCTGCTGACGCGTCACCGACTAGCGGCTATTAGCACCTTGTTTCATGTAAATGCCATAAACTCAACCAGAGCGCGTATATTGTTTCTTGTTTACATCAGTACTAAGTACTAGTACTTCCACAATCACTTAGTAAAGTCCATGGAGGTAGAAAATTTTTCTACCTCCATGGTAAAGTCATACCTTAGTAAAATCTACTTTGATGAACGAATCAAAATGGGACTGTAGACATTAAGTTTTACACATTCAAATGTGGCTGCACTAGCGCTAATGGAGCGAGCGACTATATAGCTACTACGTACGGGAAGGAACGGATCTTGGCGAAGCCTCGGATATTTGTGAACCAAACCCAACCCATCGAAGACGGGCCGCCAAACATAAAAATGGAGGGAAATGACAGACAACAAGCCAACAAAGACAACATCACCAGACCAACAAACTTGGAAAACACCACTTCAAGCGCTAACGTTGTAAGAACTGTGGAACCTCAAACTAGTATGTTTGCGTCAGCGGAAAGGCTGTCGAAGTAACCACTACATGAAAAACTGCTGCGAAAAAGTAACATGGGTTCGTCCCAAAATTAGACGCAAGTGAGCTACAAAAGAAATAGAACCTATGCAACTTGCTTGTTGCTGTCAACTTACCCGTTAAAGATTGAACCGATACATGTACGTACTATAACTTGCCATACCCGGCCAAAGACGACTACATTACTGTTACTCTTTATTTTGTGCTGTATAATGTATATGCGTTACATTATCTATCATTGTCATTTCTGTGAATTCCTTAAAACATCTACTGTTAGTTTGTGTAACATTACGTAGTGCTACAATCTGCGTAAAAAAGTGGGCTTCATTACGTGTTATCTGCTAAGTCGTGTTGGTACTGAAAACTGTTTTATTCCGCCGTTCTTCTACAAACAGCCAGCAGAATTATGAAGATACTCGTTCTCAATAGACATGCTGCAAACTAAAGTAATGGCAGTCCTACGAAAATTCTGTTTGTAATGTATAAGCGCTTTATGTCGACGTACAATGGGTGTGAAATACATGTTCTCGCCCATCGTGTGCCACCGGCTCGGTGGTAATTGGCTACTTTACAAGTGAAAGAACCGCGTCCGTGGGCCTTGATAAATATTCAAATTATTCAGCAGCCCTCTGATTGGTCCCCGCTAGAAATTTACTGGATGTCATTCAGTGACGAGCCCCCCCCCCGGAAAAATCTAAATCCTCAGGAACTCCATAATATTCATAATTTAAGCGGCAAATTTGGCTGGTGTATTCTTTTATTTAGCTTTCATCTATTTATCCTACATTTCGTCCACGAACTTCCACGGGCCTCATTTTTTTTACATTGCCAGTTTGTTTTCAGATCATGTTGGAAGGACATTCAGAGAGGCAAATAAATGTTGACAATGCTTGGTCTAATTCAAATACCTGATTTAATACGTCCACACCCACGCCCAGAAGTGATCCCTGAAAAGTAATCACTGAGTTTGGTACATGTGTGATTTCAGGTGGAAACCAGCGTGAACTGGCCCGTGCAAAGAACCTGAAAAAGCAGCAGGACCAGGCCAAAAAGAAGACTTCTGGAGACAAGGGTTCCAACAAGGGCCAAGGTCTAGAGGCCAGGAAACAAAGGTAAACCTACATGCCAGCTTGCAGCTTGCTGTCAGGTTGATGATATTGTATGTTATAAGTTACAATGTAAAAGCTATCTACCACCAAAACATCACACCAGGTTCAACCGGTCAGGACAAAAGAGACAAAAACTGAAAGTTCTGCATTGCCAAAAAGCTGCCAGGAGATCCAAAATCTATCTTGACCTTTGTCTTCCCATGGCATACCCACATACCAAATATCATCACAATCCATGCTTCAGACCTTGAAATGCTGATCACAAATATTAGACACTCAATCAGTCATTTACCCAAAACAATACCTACATTTTCAAGGAGGTAATCAGGTCTTGATTGATTTTTTCATTATCTTTCTGTCTTCAGGGATGCAGACGTGATGCGACAAAACAGCTCAAGGCAGAAGCGAAGAAGGCAGACTCAGCTTCAGGAGGGAACGTAACCCCCAGGCTTTCCCCTCTCAGATGGATTCTTGTGGATGGATTCTTGTGGAATGGCAGAAGAGACATATGAAACAGTTAGCTTTGACTACAGTTGAATAAAAGAAATTGGCCTTGGATGGATTGCTATGTATACTTGGTTGCTTGTTAAAATTTCAGAACTGTACAGTTGAAAAGTTCAAGAAAGTTAAAAAGCCTTACCATTGCTTGTTGTCAGCAGTTAATCATTAGAGTCATTAGGTCTTTAGTTTTGAATAGCAATAATCTTAGGTGATACACAACTTTATTTGCACATGGAGCAAGTTTGGGATAAAAGTGTGACATGATAGATGGCGTTACATTACCTTTTTGGCTTGCAAATGTTGGCTGTTAAGAACAGATAAATAAAAAACTGACAATAAGCTTCATGGTAAGGGCTACAAGATAGAATTGAACATTTGTACATCACTACAACCTCTGGGACTATCTGTATATTGTTATATCAAGGCTTATATTATAAATAAAATAGCTACATTGTACCCCTTAGCTTTGTTGGATGTTAAACTGCATTAATGTGATGAAGGAAGAGTAGCGCAGGAGTATTCACAGATAATCAGTACAGTACCAGTATGTATTTTTTTTACACTAAACACAAATTGTACATACAATGCAGTAATTAGGATCAGTTTCCACACATATTTAAAACATTAGACATTATGGCAGAGTGCAACTACATAGTCATCAGTTGGACAAACTGAGGTTTTTATGTACTGCATATCTAACACAATTAGAGTCCAATATGTAACTGGCATGGGCAAAGTGGACATGTATCTTATAGTGTAATCATAATGAGAAGAGCAATTAAACAATAAAAACAGCCATGTCAATATCTGTAGTTTAGATGATAACTTTTATTGACATTTGAAGCAATTACGTTATATTGTCCCCCTGTCAAATATTATGTTCAAGCTTCGATTACATAAGGTTTTCTTCTAGTTTGTTGAGCTTTCTTTCCCTACAAGGTTGCAGTATGCATCTCACATGGAAAGCATGAGTTTATCTGTGTGTACTTAACACAAAGTTGCAATACGTCATACTTCTATAATTACTGACCTGCTGGTTTCACATCTGGCACACAAACACTGGTGAATTTACGAAAGATCCTCTATTTTCTGAATAAAACTTTTTTCAAATGTGCTGTCCTTTAACTTCACTGTTTCTGGCTGAAGTTTGTCACAGGAGACCTTGACTCTAAATGTAATGCATTGTTCATAACATTGGAAGATGCCAGACTTTTCTCTGTAAAAGCTGCTCTGTAATGTGTGGGCTCTGATAGATGGCTCTGAGTAGACTAGCTTTTGTCCATGAAGAATCTAAACAGTAGCCTGGGTACTATCCTACTTGTATGCCTACTTGTACTAGTGTGGGAGTCCTGGCATACATGTAGGATGGTACCCAGGCTATTTAAACAGGTCCCCAAAAACATCTGCAGGAGGAAGAGTTGAGGGGTGATAGCAAGGCTGATGTCAAACCTCCCAGCAGATATTTTAGTGGAAAAGTCGTAACTATTGGCAAGGCACTATCACATTGGCCAACATACACAGCCATAACGTCGCCATTGGTTTCGACTGCCACTGACAGATCTGCTTGGAGATTACTGCAAGGCTGAAATGTGTTGGAGAGGATAAAGCCTCTACTACCAGGCTCCTCCGGTTGCTAAATAAATACTTGTAGTAAATTGGCCTAATAGACAAATAGAGGGTTTGTGGGTTCTGAGAAGCCTGGTAGAGGCTAGCAAGGAGGTTACTGGCAGAGACACGAAAGTGTTAAGACAGTAACGTTATCCATTGTTCAGAGCTGCAAAGGACATGCCGGACAGGGTACAATAATTTGCGCCATCTAGCGGATTACAGGAAAGGCACAGCACCACGGGCAAGGCAGCTTGTAAGTTGTATTTCCGGGGTCAAAAGCCAAGTTATAGGCGCGCGCCAGTTCCGCACGGGAAACGTCGCTGTTTTAGGGTCTGTTGTGCTTTTGTCGGTAAGGTAAGAAATTTCATATGTGTGAAATTTTATGCAAACTCATGCTCACGTGATGTTTGACAATACAAATAGACAGCTGTTAGCTTTTGCGTGTGTGGGTGTGCCTAAATGAAGTACAGGAAGGGGAGGGGGGCACAGTCAGCTAGTGACGTGCTTAGAGTTAGATCTAGCTTTCTAGAACACAAGTGAAATTTAGTCATATTGGAAGACTGTATTTATCGCATTGATATTTTCATAGTACTTTTAAGTGCATTTCTTCTTGTCAAGAATATGACAAGTACGGCTTTGTAACTTTTTTATCTATGAGCATCAAGGTAAATGAATTATTATTTCACTCTATAGCTCTATACTAAGGTAACCTCCTTGATGAAATTTAATAACTAACGTTAACATTACAATTTACCCCCAGACTGGAGACACAACAATGAGCATATTTGGCCAGACCAGTACTGCGTTTGGAGGGACGTCCGTGTTCGGTGGTACCTCCACCCCAGCGGCACAGACCCAGGGTACCCACAATCCCATGAAGGACATCGAGGTTGTGTCTCCGCCAGATGACAGCGTGGCGTCCATGGCCTTCAGCCCGGCAGCCACCCCCACCACTACCTCCACCTTTCTTGTGTCAGGATCCTGGGACAACAATGTAAATATAAACAAAGTTCCAAATGATAGCTTATCTATCTGTGTTGGTAGAATCCATAGGAACTCACCTTCAATTTTTAGTCTAACTTCTTCCTAAGATGAATGATGCACTGATGTGCACTGACTTTCCAAAAGGGTGATGATGTCAGGAGTGAATCAAGAGTGGCCAGAAGACAGAATCTTCCACAAGGAATACATTTTGGATATGGAGAAGGACTTAACTTTGTGAGGGGTGTGAAGAAAGGCAATATGCAGCAGGGCCTATCACCCCTCTCTGAACTTTGACTGTGGATTCGAAGATTCTATCTTCTGGCCACATTTGATTCACTCCTGACATAATCACATCAATTTGCAGGCAATTTTCAAAGTTTGTGCATATTTATTAAAGGTGCAACTTCATATTTCTACATGTAAAGGAATATTTTAGACGAGTAGTTAAATGATAATGATAATGATCTTTATTGCTTGACAGTTGTACATGGTACAATGTATGGCAAGGTTGACAATGTGGTCATTACTTTTGATACTAGTCATTCCAAGGAACTATAACTATCCTTTGTTGCTCCTCCCTTAGTTTACTGAAAATTTGACTGTTTCTCCAGGTACGGTGTTGGCAGATTGAACAGAATGGACAGACCATCCCTAAGGCAGAACAGAAGCACACAGGCCCTGTACTGGATGTGTGCTGGTCAGATGTAAGGATCTCCTATTCATTTATCCAAGCATGTTTTTGTGTGCATGTGGATGTCATAGTACCTAGGCTGCGAAACATTCAATATGGTTGCTCCGTCCCAGCCATCCCAATGATCGGATCTCCCTCCAATCTTTGGCCATTGGGCGATCTGACTTACCCAGGGTCAAGCTTGTACTAAAACTTCACATACACCTATAAACCCAGTTCCTAGACCAGTGCAGGTTAGGTCCAGATAGAAATATCTAATTTTACCATGCAGGTGGTTTGTTGAGCCCTGCTGCATACATGTACATTTTGTATATGACAATACAACCAGTGCTATGTTTATAACACCATTGTCTGTTCTATGTACCTCTACCCATCAGGATGGCACCAAGGTGTTTTCAGCCAGCTGTGATAAACAAGCCAAGATGTGGGACCTGAACAGTAACCAGTGTATTCAGGTGGCACAGGTCAGCAGCAGATTTGGTAGAGAGTGTGTGTATGTGTGTGAGTATGTGTGTGACTGTGTGCATGTATGAGTTTGTGTGTGTGTGTGACTGTGTGTATGTATGAGTTTGTGTGTGTGTGTGACTGTGTGCATGTATGAGTTTGTGTGTGTATTTGTGCCTGTGTGTGTGTGTATTTGTGTGTGTGTGTGTATTTGTGTGTGTGTTTATTTGTGTGTGTGTGTGTATTTGTGTGTGTGTTTATTTGTGTGTGTGTGTGTGTATGTGTGTATATTTGTGTGTGTCTGTGTGTTTATTTGTGTGTGTATTTTATGTTTTACTTGGATACTTCAGCACCGGCTGTAACTGATGATGATGATGTTTCTGTTTCAGCATGATGCTCCTATCAAGACAGTTCACTGGGTCAAGGCCCCCAACTACACCTGCCTAATGACAGGCAGCTGGGACAAGACCCTGAAGGTAACCACTTGCTTAACATGATGTGTTACATAGCACATGATGTTTTGTCCTGTATTCTGTTGCATGGAGTAACTCACTGGTAGTCTGGTACACAGTCAAAGGTCCACCTCGACAAGAAATGGTAGATCCATAGGTCATGTGAGATCTGTGCAGCCCTTTAGGCTTAAACAGAGGAGGCATCAGTGACTTGACTCAAGAGGCACATTAATGTCTTGGTGCACTCGGCTTCAGGATATGAATATACATTTTGTACTTAAATCAATTCAGGTTTTTCCTCTGGCCAGCCCTCTTCTTTCATCTTGTTAACCTTCTCCTTAAGATGTCTGAGAACCAATGAAACAAACTTGCAGCACTTCTCCAGCTTCAAACATGGCCTTTCCTCCACAGTTTTGGGACACACGAACTCCAAACCCTATGATGACGATTCAACTGCCTGAGAGGTGCTACTGTGCTGATGTGGTGAGTTACGTACCGTACTGTGCTAAAACAGATAATTAACATTTGGTTTGTCTGTGTGTCCGTGTGTGTCTCTTTGTTTCCACATGGACATTAAGTTAGGTTGTATTATATATGGTTGGGTTGTCTGTCGCAGAGGGTGAAAGTCATTAATCGCATCTGCATCTGGTAGCACTTGCTGTTTTCACAGGTTTTTTCATTACATGACCTCCATGACAGCTGTCAGCTGGTGTTGCTAACTTGTTCTTTGTGCTGTACAGATGTACCCCATGGCTGTGGTGGGGACAGCAGGGAGGGGCATTATTGTCTATCAGCTGGAGAATCAGCCCAAAGAGTACAAGAAAATAGAGTCACCTCTGAAGTATCAGGTAGGTCTCTTCAAGTCCCTGTAAAGCTAACCTTCTACTTTGCTCTGTATGTAAAAAAATACAGTTAAAACATCCATTACAGATTTTCTTACCTCTTAATTGAAGCCATTAATACCTTCTTTTTTCTTTTTATTTCCCACAGCATCGATGTGTTTCCATCTTTAAGGACAAAGATGGCCACCCTACAGGGTTTGCTCTAGGTTCTATTGAAGGAAGGGTGGCCATCCACTATGTGAATGCCACCAACCCGTAAGTAGTGTATTATTGGCCATGGTTTCATGAATGCTTAACAAGTCATGCTTAACCTTTTTACTGTCTCATACACAATGTTATGAACAATGTGTATCATGTATGCCATGCACAAATGTGACACTGATGACCAAGCTATTTTCAGTCATGTAGCGACATTGATTTTTAACTGGCCAGTTTGCCTCTACTATCATTCCATAATATTCTACACCTGTACTTTTCAGGAGAGATAACTTCACCTTCAAGTGTCACCGGTCTAATGGTAGTAACAACACTGTGCAAGACATTTATGCTGTAAGTTTTAAACTTTCTGCAGTCTTAGATATTAGGCTTCAACATTACACAGGACACAACCCCACATGTATACTGGTACTGCTGAAAATGAAATCCTTTTTCTCTAACTATTTAGGAGTACATGCATGTTTTAAAGGAGTACATGCATGTTTTGTAATTCAATGTAATTCAATATATGAAATGTTATAGACCTGACATATATAGACAATATTTGTTTATTACAGTTATATGGGGTCTGGTCAGTTTGTTTTGCCACAAAAAAGTAGATTTGGATGCATTATCTTAATTTGTGAGATATTTTGTTGCAAGTTTAAAACTTATCATGTCTTTTAGGCTGGGAAACACACTATTTTGCTTTTGGTTTTACCTATTTAAGTACAAAATGTAGATTCAGCCTGTGAACAGTTTGCCAACTTCATAATGCATGTCTTGAATGAAACAGAAACATCACATTGACAAACCTGATTTTAAATTCCTAGGTGAACGGAATAGCATTTCATCCCGCCCATGGAACTTTGGCCACCGTGGGGTCCGATGGCAAGTTCAGTTTCTGGGACAAGGATGCGCGTACCAAACTGAAGACGTCGGAGCAGCTGAATCAGCCTATTTCTGCCTGCACAATTGACCCCCGAGGAAACATCTTTGCATACGCAGCTAGTTATGACTGGTCAAAGGTGAGTGTGTTTTACTAGCATAAAAGTTCATCTGAGTTGGTACAATACATAATGAGAATTAAAATGTCAAGGAGGTTACCTTAGTATAGAGTGAAATATAATTCATGTCAAACTCAGTGGATTTCGACTGAATCACTCGGTCCTTACCAGCTTTCTGACCCGAATGCTGTCAGAAAGTCACGTAGACTCAGTGATTCGGTTGAAACTTCCGGTTAGTCAATTTTTTTTAGTTGAAGAACAGTTGAATTCTCATTATGTGGGTGTGTTTTGTAATTTACTCAACACACTGGAAATCGACCCCCAATTTTAAGTTAAAAACAGTGTCCAATGGGCTCTGTTTAATTTGGAATCCATCCGATCCACTATAGATATAACTTATGGATATCAGGGTTCTCACCAGGATTTTTTCACAGCGTAGGGGTCAGGTATAGAAGGGCAACTTTCTGCGGCGCGAGTCACCCACCGAGTCCCCAAAACATGGGCCTGATATTCTCCCCAAAAAATTTTGTAACTCATATTAACCACTTAAGACACTATTTATTGTTTATTGGAGGACAGATTTTGTTTTCCCTCTGTTATAGCTTCATTCTTAAGTTATATTTTCATTTTTTTAAAGATTAATGAAGCTTCTGCCCCCAAAAACCACCCCTACGCTGGTTGAAACACAGTTTAGGGGGCTAAATCACAGCGTAGGGGGTCAAAATCACAGCGTAGGGGGCCCCTATGCTCAAACAGCCTGGTGAGAACTATGGATATAGAATTAGGTATTAAGTTACGTGTACTAACTTGATAATATTTTGACTTCCTCAGAAAGTGTTAACAGCCTTACACAAGTCTTGTTTGCTGTTGTGGTGCCATTAGATATTGCCATGTGCAGACACTCATGTCTTCAGTTTTGTGCTACTAGTAATCTTCACTGGGTATTTTCTGGTGACAAAGTTGATTTGACTTTCATCCCCCACCCCCACCCCAGGGCCATGAGTACTACAACCCACAACAGCAGAAACCTTGCATCCTGCTGCGCAGCTGTGCTGAGGAACTCAAGCCTAGGAACAGACGGACCTAGAGATGACTAACTACTGAGCAGAGACCTAGAGAGACAAGCAAAGTAGATGCAGTATAAACTACATGTACCTAGACTGTGTAAGAGAGTAGCCAAAAGGAAGCAACATGCAAAACTATATAAAGTTCTACCCAAGATAATATCATGCTAGATTACGTTAAGACTACTGCAACGGCATATGGAAGGCAAGACATGTTACTGATAATGTATGTAGGCTAGTTGCCCATAGTTGTCCTACCTGCACTGAACAGATTGTCTGATAGGGTAAAAAAGACTATGATCATGAATGTTAGTGAACCTCATGCAAGTAAACTTGTTAGGTGATATTGCCACCCAAAACAATATCTCTCAAAAGGGATAAATCTTTTTTGTCCCGAATACTGATGACATAACAAGGTTATCTGTTAGTAATTAGGATTAAGGGAGTTGTGATAATTTGTTTTCATACCACTGTAGTATTCACACTGCTGTACAGATATTTAGGTCTGCATACATGTCCTTGTAAAACTAACATAACTTGTAAGGCATGTAATACAAGAGTTCGGAGAAGTCACCTACGTTACATTAAATATGAGCTTTTGTAGCTTTTGTTTTTCTTTTGCCTCATTGATAAGGGGCCTTGCAGACTAAGTGCTTGCTGTGACAAGCACTGCTATGTGGGTAACTGTGTGAGTGGTAGACCTGGACATGTTTTGGGTCTGAAGTAACAAGGTTTCTGCAATGTCATCCAACAAGTCCAATTATTATTGCCGTCTATTAGTATCTTTTCATCTGGTAAGTGACACATTTTACAAACATGAAGTAACAGCTGTTCCTCCTTTGAAGGATAAAGGATAAAAAGGATAAAGGATATGAGTGGGGTAGGGGGAAGAGTTGAGAAGGGCTACGAGTGGGGTAGGGCTAAGAATTGAGGAAGGCTACAAGTCGGGTAGGGGGAAGAGTTAAGAAGGGCTACGAGTGGGGTAGGGCTAAGAGTTGAGGAAGGCTCAGTAGGGGGAAGAGTTGAGGAAGTGTAGTGAACATAAGTTTTTCTTAGAATTGTAATGGAGATTTCTGGCTCCACCACATACAATAATAATCATTCAATTGTTGCCATGGTAATGATTTTTATTGCATTCCTTGTACCTTATTTTATCCAATTAGTAACGTTATCTCTGGTAGCTGGGGGGTTAATTAAATTTGGCAGGTATTATAAAAAAGTTTGAACATGAACGCTTATTTTTTTTTTAAAGAAAGCCCATTTCAAATCTTTCACCTTTCACCTTTTTCTATTAAAAAAAAGAACACACAAAATTTCATTCTCTACTTGTCAAATTCGACCCATAGCAAGGAGGTTTTTGGCACAGAAGAACAAGCTGTACTATGCAACCTGGGAAATGTTGCCCCCCAGGCGCAATGCATCTTGGGTATGGGAAAATGGTGCTCCTGTGTGTGGTCGGCGTCAAAGAATCAGAAATGAAATGGCGTGATTTTCTTCAGAACTGGGAGTAGCGCTACTTACATATATACTATTGTACATTAACAAAGACAGGTAGGTCTTTGCTTTGTTCTACCCCATGATTCGTGGTAATGATACAGCAGTGATTATACTGTTGTGTGTTTTATCTGACCAAGGGCAATTTTGGGGGGTGGGGGGCAGCTGTGTACCAGACACCGCGGGCTTCAGTGCTACTGGTATATCGGCCTATCCCCTATATCAACTCCTCTCGGGCTCCCTCTTTCCCCCAATAGCGGTAATTTTGTGCTCTTGACTACCGAAGGAAACAGGCCCGATACTAGTCTGGCTTCCAGGCAAGGTAGAGAAACCAGTGCCTTGGACAGAAAAATCCAAGCACGGATCAGATACGTTGGGGGGTGAGCGGCATGCGTTAACGTTCATGTATATATTCCCTATATAAATGTAATCTTTACTTAATATTTGCATCTGTCTATTTTGTTTGATGTTTTTTTTTTATTTCTAAAATTATTAGAAAATTCAATATGGACAAGTCGATCGACGTACCGCCGACAAGATGTTCTAGGAACAAGAGAGGCAGGCCTAGGAGGGGCAAGCAGACAACAGAAAAGGAACGGCAGGACAGACGGAGGAACAGGGACATTTTATTGGAGGAAAAACATGAAGGAAACATGTCCCAGTGGAATGAGAAAACCCCAACTGATGCAGAACAGATAGCAGGTGGTTCTGCAAAGCAAGATAAGCAAACACCCTTTGTATGTGAACAATGTGGATACAAGGCAACTTACAGATCTGGCTTTCTGCAACATATGAGAAGGCATACAGGTGAAAAGCCTTACAGGTGTGATCAGTGTGACTTTTCTACAGCATGGAAAAGCCACCTGAAACGACATATGGTCACACACACTGGTGAAAAACGCTTCATGTGTGGAATTTGTGGGCACAGAACACCTGATAAGGCAAATATTGTTCGACATATAAGGACACACACTGGTGAAAAACCTTTCAAGTGTGACCTGTGCGATTATTCTAGCGCAGATAAAGGTAATTTAGACCGACACATGCTTAAACATACTGGTGAGAAGCCCTACATGTGTGGGGAGTGTGGGTTCAGGACAGCCTACAAGTCTGAGTTAACAATACACATGAGGAAACATACAGGCGAGAAGCCTTACAAGTGTGACAAATGTGACTATGCTGCTGCCTCAAAACGTGATTTAGACATACACACCTTCAGACACACTGGTCAGAAACCCTTCAAATGTGATCAATGCGACCATTCTGCACTACGTAGAAGTGATTTGGACAGACACATGCTTGTACACACCGGTGAGAAACCCTTCATGTGTGGGGAGTGTGAGTTCAGGACAGCCAGCAAGTCTAACCTAGCTGTGCATATGAAACAGCACACAGGTGAGAAACCCTTCATCTGTGGGATGTGTGGGTACAGAGCAGCACAAAGCA